CGAGAGATTGTCAGTCATGTCATACGCCACATTTTCTATAGAGCGTAGAACATTGCAGATAGGGCAAAATAAAAATAATACAAAATATAATGGGAACTATTTATTAATAATATATACATATATAGGCATTTATAATAAAAATAATGAACAAGCTGCAAGGTTCAACTAATAATGTTTCTAGTAAACACAATTGTAAAATTCCTGTTTTAATTTTTACTAATGGTTAATTGATGAAACGTAGTCAAGATCACTTTATAAAAAATATATATAATTAAAATTGACACATACCTATTTGGCCTTCTACTTACAACTCGGCGGAAATTTGAAAAGAAGATTTTGTCTTTTCACACAAGTATTGTTTACAACTGGCGTTGTTTCGAAAAGTGTGATTAAGTGTTAGCGGTATATAATCAATTAAATACTGAACATTTTTGAAATTAATTTTTTTGGTTATTTTTGTTATATCTTCTTAAAAACTGGCGGCATCTCACTATTTTGTTATTTGTTTTTTTTTGTAACGCATAAGGATAAGTTAGACTATGTTCGATTTAATTGGATAAGTTTGTAATTTTTTTAATTTTATCACAAAATTTCCGCAATAAATTATTACCTTTTCTACAGTGATTCTCTCCTCTTAGTTTTGGCGTAACTGTAGGATGTTATACTGAGTTACCGTCAGTTACTAAGTGGCCATAAATCATTATATGTATGTATAGACATACATATATACATTTTTTGATTTTAATATTTATGTTTTTTTGAATTTTGATTGATTTTTTGAAACCTGGTAAAATTATTTTTTTCCATACCAATTGATGGGCCTGAGTATAATGCCAGTTATGCTCTTTGGATGGAGTTATTTTTTATTTTATGCTCAATTGCAGACAAAACAATATTGATTGCGCATTTCTAAAACAAAATTTTACCTCTTCTCCTTCTAATAATAACTCCTGCACAAACAGTTGCCACACGGCGGAATAGTTATTATTATCTATAAGACCATTTGCAGAAACAGTTTTTGTTAACAGATGTCGTTTCGTCGTCGTCGAAGTTTGAAATGTAACATTTTTATCAGCTGCTTTGTTTATAGTGCCTTGAGTAACACTTTGCCGGTTTCTGTACAGAAAATGATGCTGGCTTTGCAAATATGGATGGCCGCTACCATTGAATATAATACCCGCTATGTTACGCTTATTTACATAGAAACTAAAAAATAAAATAAAAAAAATAAAAATAAAAATAAAAACTTATCATTAGCATAAAATTCTAAATAGCACTTTTTACACAAGAAAGTAAACTTTTAGATCAGTCTATCTTGTTTTTTTCTAATTAAGTGAAAAGTAAAACAAACCAATAGGTCCGTGATTTAAAATTTATTGCAACTTTTTATAGAAAAGCATGATCTTATCATAATACAATAGTCAATCATTTAGCCATGGGATAAAACTTTTAAGTGTGCCAGTCAAACATTAATGATTATATACAGGTCATTATACTGGAAATAGTCTTTTAAATATTTTGTAGTACAATTGACAATCTTCAGTATGATTGACCGTGTATATGACTTTTATTAGTCTATGTTATTTTTGATGAAAATTATTATTGCAGATAAAAGCCCTTTCACATTTATTTTAGTCTCGAATTAATTTAATCCAAATGAAAATAAGAACTTTGGCACTTTATAACTGATCTTTAAATGTAAAACACTGACTTGCAATTATATAATTATCAGCAGTTTTTAATTCATTGAATTTTTTTAAGATTGTATTGGAACTCTACTGGTTAAAAAAAAAACAAATATATATATATATATATATATATTATAGTTCATGGTGGAAATAAAGTATGCGCGTTACATCGTATCCCATCAAGAATTTCTAATGTAATTCTTGGTGTAAAGCTAAGACGTGATAATAACTGTAAACAATAGAATAACAAAATAATTTAAACATTTGTAAATACTTGCTTTATAACCTAATAAATATTATTTGACCGTAATAAAATAAAACAAGGTAGTCTTCGGCATGAAAGTAAAAATAAATATTTTCGATTATTTTTGGAATATCTAACAGCCGGATCAGCGCGTGATTCTGATCCATCTAAGGATGCTAAATTTCAGCAAGCACTGTCAAATTCAATAGGAGTGACAGAAAAAAACGGTTCTTGATATAAAAGGGTAAATAAATTATTTAACCTATAATGTAAAATCACTTTATTAAAAATCAAAATAGCCTAATAGCTTTATTAACATGAGACACATAATTGTACGTGTGCTAACAATACTTAACATTATTTTACTGAAACCTCAAAAAGTTTTTTTTTTAATAGAATAATGGTGACAAACGAGCACACAGTCCACCATTTGACTACGTATCAAAATGTAGATGCGTTGTCACCCGTGAGGACTTAGATGTAATGCCTCGTTTCCAGTAAAAAGGTTCTCCGTTTCTCTACACTCACCATACGAAACACAGCAGGGTTAAACTGCTATTTTACATGTTATTCCGTGAGAGCGTGGCCCTTCCCCGGTCGAGCCGACCCATCCGTGCTACAACTATACCTACTACTAATATAGCTGCAGCATGGCTTTACCACGTAAGAAAAAAAATGACTTTGAAAATTTAAGTATTTTCAGAAGCAACTTTGCAATTATTTTCTATTGAGTGAATTTTTGTGGAATCGTGTTTTACATACCGCCACCTGAAATACGTTCAATTTTTTTTCGATAACGACGTGAAATTACGAAACGATCCCCATGCATATCAATGTGGCTCTATTCAGCCTCTTAATATGCACTTACCTCGGGATTGAGAGATTTTAAAAGTTTTCATGCGTAGGTAATGGAAGATATAATATTATATTATTACTGTCCCGTGTGAGGCAACTTTATACTTATATACATATTCTCATCATATTTTTATGGTTGGTTAGAAAAGTTATATCTAAATGCAAACTTTCACAGGGTAATTTTTTTTTAACTATTTTTACCCAGCAAGTAGTAAAGCAACTACAATCCCATCGCTGGTTATGTAGACTAAGATGGTGAATTGCACTGACTTAACAAAAACCTATTCACTCTTGCCTAATAGCACTAGGTAAGTATTATTTTCTACCTATTTGTGTGTGTGTGTGTGTGTGTGTGTGTGTGTGTGTGTGTGTGTGTGTGTGTGTGTGTGTGTGTGTGGGTGTGCGCGCGTGTGTGCGTGCGCGTGTGTGTGTGTGTATGTGAAGAAAAGCGTATAAGAATACGTGAAGAGGAATAAAGGTTGAGTACTACTTCGCTTACCTATACGAGGTGAGCGAAGTAGTACTCAACCTTTATTACATACTCGAGAATCTTTCTTCCTATTTTTTATCGGCTTTCCAAGTTATATAGCCAGCCCATTGCCATTTCACTTTAATATTCCGTTGGGCTATGTTAGTTACTCTGGTTCTACTGAGAATATCTTCATTTCTAACTTTATCACGTAGAGAAACCCCTCTCCAATTTAATTTTTTTACATTTTTAGATGATAGTTTGTCTAACATAAAAAAGCCATAAAACCAATAATGTCTTTATATAGTTATTTATACTTAGGGAAGCAACATTTTTATTATTTATTTAAAGTGATTGATTTAATTTGATCACAGTGTACCTAAATGTAAGTATCTGTATGTATATTTCCCTCCCCAACAATATTTTATAAAGTCATACTCATAAAAACAGCGTTTTATTGTAATACATAATTATAAAATTGAGTATCAACTAATTAATAAAAATATGCAACAATAAAATTATATAGGTATTAAAAACTATCGAAATCTAAGTAACGAGAGCATGTTCTCCGTTCCACAACTAAATTATAATATAAAAATGCATTTTTCAATTTCACTAATCAACGTCGCCACGAAAATTTCTTCTTCTTTGGGCACTTTAAAAATTAATTTATTTAGAAAATAATATTTACAGTTACCAGTGTACAGATATTTACTAAATTAAGTATTTCTAGTCATAAAAATATTTATAATTGAGTTTAAACTTTTAAAAAACTAATATATATTTGAACAAAGTCGCTCCAACAACGACGCGCGGTCCACCCTCGACGATGTCCGAAAACGGACTGACAGGGCGACGGAGCATGCGCGCTCGCGTAAATATATTCAATTTCAGGGGAAAATGATATATTCTCTTATAAAACGGGGAATAAAAATAAAACTCTTAATTAAAAATATTAATATTTTTAAGACCTTTTTTTTAGTGTAAGAACTATTTAAAAAGCTTGTGCCGTTTTGGAGAAATTTTGCAAAATATGACAAAGATAGGTACTCTTTAGGGATTTTTTTTCTAATAAGGGGTTGACAAAAATACAATTTTGTTCAATTAAAAACATTTACTAAATCCTCTTCTGTTACGCTGTATTTTTTCTTTGTGGTTTAGGTGAACAGTTATTGAGATTTATTTACTTAAATATCCAAGATTTAGGCATTTCAACCACTGTTAAGGCCTTAAATATTAGAAAATTGAACTATAATTTTGCTCCATAAATAAATTGATATGACGAAAATAAAAATGCATTCATGCATGAAAGAGATATCTTCCTAACCGAGTTAAAATAAACGAGAAGGGTCTATAGTAGAAGCCGACCTATACGTAGAACAAAGGTACATGTGAACATGGAACGAAATCATTATTATTGTATTTTTGACTCTAAAGAAACCTATTTATTTAACTAGTGAAATCATATTTTCTTTTAAATAAGTAGGTTCGAAGATTACAGCCGAATAATGACACATATGGTTTCTCCTTCCAAAGGACAACGTTACAACATCACATGTGTCATTAACCTCTGTCGGCATTGGCTCAAAGGAGCCGCGCTCGCCGCGTCGTGTATTCAATCGAACCTATGTTCTGGGGAAAGACGGTTGTGCGCACGTCTGTTCTGTACACATTTTTTTGCGTATTGTAGAATTATAATAATAAAGTTTATGTATTTAAAATGAAAAGTACACGTTCTTAACATATGTTAAGCCTGCTATTAAGACCGTTGGATAAAATGGATACTGCAAGTAATCCTGCGGTAAAAAGTCATGAACGATTGGATTTCTCAGGTAAGTTAATCTGACATCCTATGTTAACAGTGGTAGTTTGAGTATTAAAATCACTTTAACATAACTATTTTTTTATTTTTCTTACAAACAAAAGTTTTACTCACAACAATAAAGTTAAATGGTCTCGTGAGCACATGGAACTTTATTCTATATCGACAAAATTTACCTTCTCATCAAAAACAAGTAAACAAAGAAAAATTAAGATGAAATTATGTGTATGAAATGTTAATTAAAATGTTTTGGTAACATTTTAGTATTCATAAATTTGGTTATATTTTCGGACATATTATTTTATTTCTCAGAAAAGTACGTAAACATTACAGGTCTATGCGCACATGTGACTTTGTTCGAGGGAAATTATTTTGAAACTCTTTGGTCTGTGTGCAAATGTTATTTTATTCTTGGTAAGATACTGCGACATACCTTTTTTCCAACTGGGAATTACCATGAAAGCCTGAAAAAATATCTTATTTTTAGATTAAATATTTATTAGAACTACTTATGACTATTATTAGTTATTTATTTGGTTTGATTGAGTCAATCTTTTAAATATACTTATTTTTGTGTTTAGAATATAACGTGGACAATCTCGCAGTTGTTACCCAATCACCACTGCCGCAAGAAGCTGAGAACATACATCAAGATATGGCTGAGGTATGGGAGGACGTGTTTGGTCCACCACATGTTACGTTAAAGCCTGCAGATAGCGAAAAACTAACACCTATTGCAATTGAAGTACCTTCCAGCTTTGAAAATTCACCCGCAACCAGTTTTGGAGACTTGCCTTCAATTTCAGCACCTATTGTCCCGACTCCTGTGCCTTCTCCATTGAACTCACAAGCAGATTGCCATGATTGCCAGGACTCAGTCGCCTTCAGTTACTAACACATTTAGTGCACCTAACAATTCTAGTGATGATGAATACTCTGCATAAACCAAGAAAAGAGTAAAGAAACGATTATGCCGTACATCTGAATGGTCAGACGTCAAAAGAAAGTGCCTTAAGAATATTGGTAAAAAATACGTAACCAAAAAGGGAAAGATAATCGATGACAAAACTTTAGGCATACCGTGTAAATGCCGGTATCAGTGCTTTAAGAAGATATTTCATGACCAAAGATACGATTGTTTTCAAAAGTTTTTGGGTTTGGGAAGCCGGGAAAAGCAATGGTATTTTGTAGTGAGGTACTCTAAAAAGGAGCAAAAGAATAGATGTTTAAATCGTGAGGTACCCAACAATATACATTTAAATACTTTCTGCCAATATCAACACCCAATTCAAACCAGAGCCAGAGTGAAATGGTTAACGTTTGTAAGAGTATGTTTTTGAAAACGCTGTCCGTTAGTGGCAAAATTATTAAAACAGCTTGGGATAAATACGATGGCAGTACTATTATAGAAGAAGATAAGAGAGGACGCCATGCAAACCACTATCAAGTAATAAAGCCTGACACGGTCAAAAGTGTATGTGACCATGTTCGATCCTTTGCTCCTATTGATTCATATTATATCCGCAAAACTTCGACGAAACTTTATCTGGATGGCAGTCTTATCATCTCAAGGATGTTTAAGCTATATAAGGAATGCTTTGATGCTTCGATTTTTCTAGTATGGCTGCTACTGAGCGACAATACCGAGACATTATCAATAAGCATTTTAATTTGGGATTCTTCATTCCCAAAAAAAATCAGTGTGATACTTGTCATGTTTTTGGAAACAAAACTGATCACACTGATCAAGAAAGACTGGATCGTGAAAAACATTTGTCCTATAAAAATGCAGCTCGTAAGTTAAAGGATCTCAAAAAACGTGATGCTATTGAATCAAATGGTACGATACTATCGGCAGTTTTCGATTTTCAAAAAGTTTTTTCGTGTCCTCATGGTCAGGTTAGTGTTTTTTATTATAACCAAAAACTATCTTGCTTAGACTGAACCATTTTCACATGGGTAGAAAGAGGGCAGTTTGTTATATGTGGGACGAGACGGTGGCAAAAAAGGGGCATATTAAGTAAGCAGTTGTTTGCTTGATTATATAGAGCAGAATGTAATAAAGGGAGTTACAGAGTTCAGGTTTTGGTCGGACAAGAGCGCTGGGCAAAACAGAAATCGTTATGTCTTCTTTCTCTATGTCTATTCAGCTTCAAAATTTAACGTGACTATAAGACACCGGTTTCTCGAGAAAGGTCACACTCAGAATGAAGGAGACAGTGTGCACGCTCTTATTGAACGAGCAGCCGAGAAGAAAACCATTTACACTCCAGACGAATGGCGTTTGCTTGTTCGCTGGGCCAAATGCACAGGAGATCCCTATGAAGTCCAAAACATGACACAAAATAATTTTTTGAGCTAAAAATCCATGTAAATAACAAAGTCTGGAGCAAAAATACAGAAGGCATAAAGGTTTCATTGAGCCGTGTCAGAGAGGTATTTGTAGATAAATCAAAGCCTAATAAGCTACTATATAAATATGATCTCCGCGAAATTCATTATAATACTGTTTTAATACGTTCAAATACACGCAATGCTGTTTTTTTCCCTACTCTAGAACTGGCGTACAAAACGGCTGTTAATTTATCCAAAGATAAATATAAGGATCTCATTAGTTTAGTTGATTCTGGAATAATACCTTCCCAATACGCAGATTTTTTTATATCTCTGCCAGTTAGCACAAATGATAATGACATTATCAATAGCGATAGTGAAGATGACTGATTTATTATTTTTAATACTCAATGTTTAATTTTTTTTAAATCCGTTCACAATGGTTTTTGTTTAAAAACTTAACCCTATTGCTGCGGTTAAAATTTAATTATAAAAAGAAGAATGTGCTTATTGATATTTTTTCATTCATTAATTAGTATTTACACTACTATTTTATCTTTGGATATAATATAATTTTATGTGCTTTGTGCATTGTGAAACTGTCATCTCTAAGTTTTATGTTTAAATAAAACTAAAAAACTTTACAGCTCATAGTTACACGTCATACTCTCGTAATAGTTCATATTATTGTCGATTTTTTTTTGTTCTTATTACTCATAGTTCCTTTAAAATAGGTAAGTTTCCTAGTATTTAGTTTGTTGATTTTATAATTTTAGATTATTTTTTCTTATTTGTTGATATTAAAGTTAATAAGTCTAATACACAGTAAAAATTATTGAAATAAGTTACATTTTGTTACACACTGTGAATTATTGATCAATAAAACCTTAATAATAAAAAAAAACCTTTGTAATTTATTTAATTAGCATATACCTTTTTATCCATAAGATCTTATGGTTGTGTATTTACGCATAATAAAGACATATATGTGCATTTAACTCATACTTTTCCGAAGAATAAGGTTATGTATATATGTAACCTACAGACATCCATAATAAAACGTCACATGTGCATATAGGACAGCCTAGATTTTAAAATACAGTTTTTTAATTCACGATTTTAATAAATATCCATGTATTATCATATTCTTTAGTACATACCAAAAAACTAATTGTCTAGATTAAATAACAAAAAAGTTAGAGCGAAAATTGTGCAAGACTGTCTACAAATCGCTCTCCTGTAAAGTAAAGATTTTGCAAATGTTGCTTTATTCTACGAATAGGTCGATTAGCGTTTGCATGTCGAAAACGAAAACGGCTGGACTAATTTAAATAATTCTTTTTATTAAACTAATAAAATCTCTAGGGGTGGAAAAATTGGGTATGAAGATATTAAATAAATAAAATAAATAAAATCTCTTTATTTCGGACAAACATCCATAATTATTAGTAGGTACAAGGAAGTTATATCTATGTTAGTAATAATTAAGTGCAGACACGAATAATTAGTTTAAGTACAAACCAGGCCTACCTGAGACACTAGGTTTATGCACATGCATATTCACCCAGTGTCCCATAATAGGACAATCTGGTTTGCCACTAATAGCCCTCAGTATGGTGTTGGAGCTACTACGTATTCTGCGCATGAGCGAGGCGACACGTTTGCGCAAAACCGTTTCGAAGCTATCAGTCCGCGCTTGCGCATACATGCCCGATGCGCTGCAAAATCGCGGCAGACCCAACATCAACCTGAAGGCATTATTATACTGTACTCGGAGTGCGCTGAAAGCCCCCCGCGTATAATCAACCCACAGATTACACGTGTACATTGTTTGGCAGAAGGCTTTAAACAATGTTATTTTAACTTCTGTGGTACATCGTGAAAATCTGCGGGCTAACATATTGCAGCGAACTGCCAACGCTCTCCTTTCCCTCTCCATATCACAGTCATCCCTCAGCCTCTCGTTCACAATGTGACCGAGATACTTGAAGGACGATACGCGATGTAGGGCTACTCCGTTTAGGTACACTGGCGGAACATTAAGAGCTTTGCGACTGTCTGCCTTAAATACCATAAACTCGCTCTTTTTTGTATATTAATTTTTAAATATTAATGTACCTATTTAAATTACATTTAAGGTGTAACCTTGACACACCTATTTTGTTATTCCTTACACCACTCAAAAGGGTACGATAATTAAAGTCTAATTAGTTACATAGTAGTATAATGATATGAAAAAAGTATAACCGAAACCGAAAAAAATAATTTCAACTTAATAGCTTCAATTTTATAATACACTATGTCTTAGCACTGACTTTGGAAGCTATTATGTAGAAATGATATTTTTACGTTTTGAAGTCAATTTTACTTTTTCAACTTCCCGCTTTAAAAATTATAATTTTCAAAAGTAGACAGTTATAGATTTCGGTCTGATTTTGAGAATGCGATTTTTCATCAGATCTCCACCTTTTGAGATACTAGGAAGCCGTTCCGTTTAAATCTTTAAAACTTACTTTTTAAATATTTTAGTGAATAAATGTAAATCTGGTACATGTTTTAAAGAAATAGGTATTTCTTATATTTAATAGTTCGGTGTTTCTTATTAGCATAGCGGTATTACCTTGAGTTCACTATATAAATCTATTATTTTAAGTGAGAACGAGTTCACCTACACTATACTTATATGGGTGGGGCGGTGTGGGTGGGGCGGGGCCCATATTCGGTCGTGGATAATTAGGAACTGATAAAGGCTTTGGCAGCACCAAGTAACGTATTGGCTCATTTATTCACTGCTCAAAATAAGCAAAAAGCACTCTTTTTAAAACTTCCATCAAGTATTGTGTCACGTGCAGTCTGTTTGTAAGTTATACACAGAAAGCCTACAATGTCCTTTGTGTCGAATATAACAATGCCTTGAGTATGCTGTTTGAGGCTGTCTCGATTTTTAATATATCATGGTTGTTTACCATGTAGTGCACTTATAACATGGAATGCCTATTGATAAGTGGTGAACAACTTTTCATATATAAAGAGTATAGTTAGAGGACACTTCAATTTAATTTATTTGTATAGATATCGATCATTGGCCCCATTGAATATTGATTGGCACCATTAAATAAATGCCGGTTTTTTTAAGTTCGAGTAAGTACATTTTGAAATTTAATCGATGTAGTTCTACATTACACGTGTGAGAAGAACTATATTCATGAATGAGAGTAGAAATATAGAGAAGGTGGAAGGTGAGAAGCAGCGTCTTCCTTATTACAGATCTAAAACATTTAAATATGCAGTTGGCAACCCCTTGCCAAGCGTGGCGACTTCGACAAATATCCAACTTATTTGGCATTCTATGGGGAAAATCGAATTGTTGAACGGGAGTAGAAATATTTTAGCTTTGTACAGGAGACGACAAAGAAACTTATACCCCATTTCGTCTCGTGGGTGTCGCAAGAGGCAAACTGAACAGAGGGAAACTGAAACAGGAGATAGGTGGCAGCATCTTCCTGATAACAGTTCAAAGTAATAAAAATTTGCGGTTGCCAACCCGCTTGCTAACAATGG